ATGTGACCCGCGAAACCATGACAACCTTCCGCCGCGCGCGCGGCTGCTGCTGCTGCTGCTGCAGCGTTGCAAATGCAATGGGAGGAAAGCACGCGAGCAAGCAAGCAAGCAAGGCCCGGTTGGAGTTGTGGGGCTGCATCGGCGCTGGGGAAAGCCTTACATGATAAGTCAATATAGTGCAATGGAAGAGTCATGCTTTAGGCTTGCTAGCCATCTTATTTTTTTACCATTCCCGCCCCCCAGCTCCTCTTTCTATGAAACAGCAGCATGGTTTCTAGAAATCGGCTGAGCTTCCATTTCCCTGAAAAGCTGCCTCCCACAAATCAGGCTGCTGTTAAAGGCGCAGGAACATGCCGGGCCTGTTTCCCCTCCCTTCGCCTTTTCTTTCTGGTCAGTTGGCAGCTCTGCTCGTCTTTTGTGGCAGAAGATGCTGCTGCTGCTGTTGCTGCTGCTCCTTACAGGAAGTTCATAAAGCTTGGAGCGTGGCCAGGGAGCCTAGTCTCCTTGCTGCTTAATTAATCAATTAATTGTGTATACTGCCCTTCACCTGAAGATCTCAGGGCGGTTCACAGCATAAACATACTTTAAAATACAGAATAAAACCTCATAATATAACCAATAACCCCCCTCCCACAAGCATATTTAAAAAGGCATGAACTGTTAATTATTAAATATTAAAGGTAAAGGGACCCTTGACCATTGGGTCCAGTCGTGGCCAACTCTGGGGTTGCGGCGCTCATCTGGCTTTATTGGCCGAGGGAGCCGGCGTACAGCTTCCGGGTCATGTGGCCAGCATGACTAAGCCACTTCTGGTGAAACCAGAGCAGCGCACGGAAACGCCGTTTACCTATTTATCTACTTGCACTTTGACGTGCTTTCGAACTGCTAGGTTGGCAGGAGCAGGACCGAGCAACGGGAGCTCACCCCATCGCGGAGATTCGACCCGCTGACCTTCTGATCGGCAAGTCCTAGGCTCTGTGGTTTAACCCACAGCGCCACCCGCATCCCTCTTAAATATTATTTAATTAAATTAAAATTATTAAATATTAGCTTCTTATTAAATAATAAGTGGTGTTGTGGGTTAAACCCACAGCGTATTCATGCTGGCCACATGACCCGGAAGCTGTACACCGGCTCCCTCAGCCAATAAAGCGATATGAGCTCCACAACCCCAGAGTCGTCCACGACTGGACCTAATGGTCAGGCGTCCCTTTACCTTTAAATAGTTATTCTGATCTGGTATTATTTGCTGCCTTAACCGATATACAACAAACACAGATGGAACTTAGTAACAGCGGCATTAATAAGCATTTATATACTGCTTGAGTGTGCAAAGTGCTTCACATATTTTCTAATCGTTAAAAGTACCCTGTAAGGTCAGGTAGCCGTATTAACCCCATTGTTCAGATGTGGAGCTCAAGGCTGAGAAAAAGTGGCATGCCTAAAGATTTTAGTGAGCTCACACTAATAATATTAGTATTGGTATTATTAGTATACAGCCTTTCACCCAAAGATCTCAAGGTGGTTCACAACAGAATTTATTTTTTTTACTGAAAACTACTTTGTCCCTGGGACGCGGGTGGCGCTGTGGGTTAAACCACTTGCCGATCGGAAGGTCAGCGGTTCGAATCCCCACAACAGGGTGAGCTCCCGTTGCTCAATCCCAGCCTAGGACTTGCCGATCGGAAGGTTGGTGGTTCAAATCCCCACAATGGGGTGAGCTCCCGTTGCTCGGTCCCTGCTCCTGCCAACCTAGCAGTTCAAAAGCACATCAGAGTGCAAGTAGATAAATAGGTATTGCTCCAGTGGGAAGGTAAATGGTGTTTCCGTGTGCTGCTCTGTTTCGCCAGAAGCGGCTTAGTCATGCTGGCTGTACACTGGCTCCCTCGGCCAGTAAAGCGAGATGAGCGCCGCAACCCCAGAATCGGCCACGACTGGACCTAATGGTCTGGGTCCCTTTACCTTTACTTTACTTTGTCCCTATGCAGTGTTCTTGCTTCTGTAGCTTGGCAGCAAAGTTGCTAAGCTGGCCTCAGCTTTGCAGTATGTCTCATTTTAAATCCTTCCAAAGAATATTTTTGGTCTGTGGTCTGGTCTTACTTCAATGCTGGACAAAAGGTCACACTTACACAAAAGGGTCCACAAGCCCTTTCTCTCTGCAGTGTGCAAACTCACATAGCTGAGGGCCGTGGGCATTCAGAATGCAACCACTGGGAAAGGGTCTAGCCCCCAAGGGCCACAGCCTATAGTACTGGCTACAGAATTAGGCTTCCTAGCTTTAAAGACCTGTATTTCCAGCTCTAGGGTTGAGATTGAAATAGATGAGGAATTCTTGGACAAATCTTAGGAGCCAGAGGCAGTGCTGCTGAGTAAGGTATCCATTGGGCAAACAAAAGCAGATTAAATTATTACAAATACTTAGTGCAAAATTAGAAAAGTTATGCAGAGTTATTCAACTTACTGTAATTGTTATTGGTAGATATCTGGTGGTTAGGGTGAAATAATGTTCCTGCTGCCATTTACCATATATTAGCACTCTAGCACTTGATATTATTTAGGGCATTTTCAGCCAATAGTGAGTGTTCCTGTGCTATTTGTTTACATGTGCAAATGTTAATGCAGCAGAAAGAGTGCAAAGAAGCCCTTTTAAAACCAAGTGTACTTTCTAGCCAATAATTGCTAGTAGACAGTACATACAACTCACTCACTGTAGAAATGCAAAAAGTACATTTTCTGTTGGGTGTGAAAATGCCCTGAAAATGCATATTCTCTTTACAGAATAACACCACATATGAAATTATGAATTTGAAAGTCAATGAAAGAAAGAAAGGCATAATCTTGGATTATCACCACTGTGTAACTTACACTCCTTAAATCCCTGATTTACAAGGACAAACTAGAAGCCTCACTTCCTCCTAATCAGTATGGAATATTTTCATAGTAAAAGAGTTTTAAAATAAAATTACAAGAGAAAAAGAGATGTATGAGTATTTTTTAATCAATCATATATGCAAATCATTTCAAAATTAGGACAGTTTTTAAAACTGTGTACACATACTGAGTTTTAAAGCATTTACAAGCAACTTTGTTAGAATATGTTTTCCTATTTCAGCCAAAATTACTTAATACTGTATAAGAAATCACTGCACATAAAACAACAACTTAAATGGACAAGGAAAGAAATAATTTCTTAATTACAACACATTACTTCGTTAATTTGGGTCACCGTGTTAAGTGACTCATGTAGATGAGAAAAAGATTAAGCCAAATCTATTATGCTTTTTAACATTTCACATACACACATTGTTACATACCAATTGCTGTTACATAACACATGGAAGCCAGAATTTCAAGCCATTTTTGCTTTGGCTATATAAACACAATTCAGACATCTGTATTATTAGCAATGCTTGTAATTTTACAGTTCTAGAATCAATTATAAAATTCTCACCATCTTCCTAGTGAAGATCTTAACACACCTAGGGGTAGTGTTCAACTACTTTTTACTCAGGGTAGACCCATTAAAAGTAATGAACAAAACTCACTTCAGTTCATTAATTATAGTACATCTACTCTGAATACCACCCCTAGTAGTTATATTTAATATATAGTCTCTTTATATTCTGTTTTGATTGTGGTGCAGTACTAGATATAAGAGAATGACCCATTTTTTAAAAAACCTGACCATTGTGGTTCTGGATTGTGGCAGTGGTATGTATTTGAAAACTAAAACACCTGGCACTGAGAAAAATAAATAAGCTTTTGGCTTGTCAAAACATTTGGTAAATGAAGGAGAGGTTCTTGGAGAGTGTTTCTTCTAGTACCACCATTATAAAGCTTTTAAATACAGGTTAATATTTCACTGAGTTTACTATTAATTAGTATAAATATATCACTGCACCAGGCAATGAAAACTACCACTCACTTTTTAAAAAGGGAAAAAAACTTCAGAAGAAAGGTTGAAAACTTTAAACCTAACCGACACTGCAAAGAATGAAATTTAGATGGGTAAAATTATTTTCCAAGCAATGCTTCTCTTGGACAAATAATCCCTGTTACAGAGATTTTATCCTTCCACACGTAGAGTAATAATTGGTACAGACTTCACACGCAGTGGTTACAAGTAATGGATCAGCTGTTTACTACCTATCAACGCTAGCAGTCCCTGTCCCCCTACCAATGCAAATTGGCTCCAGCAATTTGCTCTTCCATCTTCTTTCTTCAAAGGGATTATCTGAAACACTCTGTGAATCCACGGACAGTGGCACTTCAGTTTCCAGATAGATGAATGATTTGTCTTGTGTGTAATATTCATCCCAGCAACAGAGGATTTCTCGACCTAGAATGACACCGCTATGATGTTTCCTCTTCCAACTTCCTATCCTTAAAACAATGGAGTCCCTTTGCTAGTCTTATGAAAGCAGAGAGCAAGACTTCCAGCTTCTCTTTGCCCACCTCCATCTCTCCAAATCTTATCTGGAAGGTCCTCCAACCTCTGGAGCAGGCTTGGGCGGCTTCAGGTAGGAGAGGAGGAAGGAAACCCCAAGTTCGCAAGTGGACACCTGCTCACGCTACATTTGATCTCACTCAGAGGAAATATTTGTAAATTACAGTTTACTTAAAAATTAAACGAGAAAGAGAAAAAATTACTTTAAAAATTATTCTGCATATGGTCCAGTATTTTCAGAAGGTCTTTCTATCCTGCTGCAGGAGCTACACAAAACAATCAGCAAAGCAGTGGTGCCATCTAAATTCTAGCAATAGGTTATTAAACACCTGTGGCAAATCAGGGGGTGGGGCATGAAGGCCATTTCAACAAGGCTTTTGTGTATGCTAAATCAACCACGGTGCAGTATCAACACCTCGACAAAAGTTCTTTTTTTTTAAATGAGAGTTGGATTTTAGGCAGGGGAAAGTCCCTGGAACTGGGGTGGCCCAAAAGGCTAAGAACCGATTGTAACAGCAGGTTACTTTCTAGTTATGTGTGCATCCGTTCACCATTAGGCAGAATGTTTCTCCACGCCCTGTTTGATTCCAAGCACAAGATGCAGAAACCAATTGAACTGCACAGTCCACCCCTTATCCCTACAAATCTCGATCTGGTCTAGGAAATACTTCTTAGCATCTTCTTCGTTTTTGCCAACCGTCAGTGCATCGCGGATGTACTCAATATCTTCTTTGCTAGTCAGCTGAGGCATTCCAGTCATCAGCATCATGGAAAACAGGATGATGAGCAGGTTTGTGTGATGCCGAAGAGCAAGGTAAGCCCTCACACAGATATCCTTTAGAGGCAAACAAACAAACAAACCTCATTGAAATGACTACAGGCTATGAAGCGACTTGTGGTTAGTCAGAAAAAACGGTACCCAAAATCAGTCCTCTTATCTAAACGTGTGAAATAGCACTTCCAATGGCTGTTACGCCCACTGACTCTACCCTCTCTCACACAGCAGCCCTAGGGTGTAGTGATACTTTGGAGCAGTGTTCCCCAACCTTGGGCCTCCAGCTGTTTTTGGACTACAACTCCCATAATCCCTAGCTAGCAAGACCAGTGGTCAGGGATGATGGGAACTGTAGTCCAAAAACAGCTGGAGGCCCAAGGTTGGGGAACACTGCTTTGGAGAACAGAGTCTACATAGATAAAGAGGATCCAGAAAGGATACACAAAGTCCAGTCCACCTAATTTTGTCACGATTGTTTTTGTGCTTCTGCAAATGCATTGCTCTGGGTTGGTTTGAAAACCACAGACCTAACTTCCGTCCATCATGGAACTTTTTCTGCATGGGATTTATCTGGCAAGGAACCCTGGAGCTTTGCAGAGCACCCAGAGGCATGTTAGAAGGAGCACGTTCTGTTCACATACTTTTTGCCAGCCATACTTTTTGGGTTTCCCTATTGCCCTGAAGAAGCTGAGTGGGTGGGTGGAGCATGCAATCAGCCCTCCATTTGCAACTGCAGATTGAAGGAGGAGATCAGCAAGAGTATGTAAGACTTTTTCGAGGAAGCTTGTCCAACATTCCTGATGCTTTCTGTGAGGAATCCCCAATAAACTTCCATGGAACTCCAGACTGCTAGGAATTCAGAGCATGTCAACCGCTGGCATGTGAATCCCCATGTGCATACAATTACAGCTAAGGACTTGAGGGTCAACTATTGTGACTGAGGAAGTAGGGAAGGAAGCACCCAGAGTTTCAGAAGCAATCAGTGCTTCCAAGACAAAGGATGCAGAAATGGAGGAGAGACTGCTTTTTCAAGACTCCACCAGTCACCCAAGTTCTATTCTTAGCAGGGAGAGTGGCAGATGGAACGTCAGAGGATAGGGAGAGAGGTTTCTAATATCTGTGCTCCTGCAACCTCTTGCATCTGTATATTCATCCCACTCTCGTAACTAGTGCACCATTGCCTATTTTATTGCATTTTTAAAATATTGCAAGCCGCCTCAAGAGCTTCAGTTGGTAGGCGGAGTCCCAATGCTCCAATATAAATAAGGGAGTCTCTTCACATATCTCATGCATAAACAGGGAGAATCTGAAGACAACCCCAACACACAAGGACATGCATCTGTACATGCTATTCTGTTGTACACATTTAGATTTGCATATGGCTGTGTAGAAATGTGGCGTAGGATGCAGCCCTACAGTACTGCTAGTCAGGATCTAGAATCGATTGTACAACATTTCTCTCCACACAAAGTATATGTGGGAAAGGGTAGTTAGCCTTGCCACAGGGGAATAGATGGGTTGTCTTTTTAAAAACTCAAGGAATATTATGGTCTACTGCTGAATAGAAAAAGCATGCAGCCGCTAAATATATTTGTTGCCCCTCCCCCTAAAATTCTTCCTCTGCTATCTTCTTCCCCTTCCTTCAGATTCAAATGTAGGGATCTCGGTCAACTTATTTTGCAATGTTGGATGATAACATGTTGCAGCTAACATTCAAATCTAAGGTGTACTGCACATTTCTCTTATAAGGTTCACTCATGGGTTATTGTTTTTATACCTGAAAATTTTGAAAGCGGGGACTCATTTTCTTTCCAGTGGTTCCCATGACAAACAGAAAATCCGGTGTTAATACAAAAGGAACTCTTTCCTTATTAATTCCAAGGAAGCTCTTGTAATTTCCAAGAATATGGCCGAAGTCGATATGAAACAGATTACCTTTGGAAGGAGAAATCAATATGATGCTTAGTGATCATTAAAAAGACCTCATTGCAGGTGCAAATTAGTTTGCGATCTCGCATGCTTTTTTGACCTGGATATAGTTTGAAAAAGTGCGTCTTGTATGACTCAAAAACTGTCATCCCTCTTCAGCCTCTCTCCCACCCAACTCTATTGACCTTACCTTTCCATGGAAATAGCTCTCTTAACTTTGTCAAAGGTTACTTTTTCTTACAACCTAATGACTGAAAATTTGCAGGTCTCTCTCCTTTCTGATAATGAAAGACAAAGACAGACATAACATTCTAAAAGTGGTGGTCCAATATTGGATCTACAGCTTTCTAAAAAGACATTATTCTCTGGATTAGGCTCTAGACTGGGAGTGGGAAATGTTTCTGCAGGATTTGAGAGGGCTAGCTTAAATGTGGCAGGAAAGGGGAGCCAGATATGGAAAGAGCACTTCCAGGATGCAAAACATCAGCATACCTCATTCACCCAGTTCCCAGGGCAGTTGTGCAACTGTTTAACTGTTTTAAAAGGTTTGCCGTTTCAGCAACACAAAGGATGGATTTTTAAAAGGAAAAAAGACAGGCAGCTTGGATTCTGCCACTGCTGAGGGCTGAAATCTTAGACTGGCTCGCTGCTAAGTCTGTCTGTTAGGGGAGCTGTGAAGCAAACCCCAAGTTATGGGCGAGGAGCGCATGATGGATGGTCTTGCAATTAGGTAAAGGTAAAGGTACCCCTGCCCGTACGGGCCAGTCTTGCCAGACTCTAGGGTTGTGCGCTCATTTCACTCTATAGGCCGGGAGCCAGCGCTGTCTGCAGACACTTCCGGGTCAGGTGGCCAGCGTGACAAGCTGCATCTGGCGAGCCAGCGCAGCACACGGAACGCCGTTTACCTTCCCGCTGGTAAGCGGTCCCTATTTATCTACTTGCACCCGGGGGTGCTTTCGAACTGCTAGGTTGGCAGGCGCTGGGACCGAACAACGGGGATTCGAACCTCCGACCATGAGATCGGCAAGTCCTAGGCGCTGAGGTTTTACCCACAGCGCCACCCGCGTCTCGGTCTTGCAATTGCCTTCACACAAACATTGTACTTTCAGGTTCATTTTCTCCCAGAGTTTATTCCACGTTCCAGTCACCAGTTCTTCCCCGCAGGTTTTAACCAACACCTAACCTCTTCTCTAATCCAAGGCATGTAGCAGCATTTTAAAAAGTAAGAATAATAATTCTGAGGTCATGGTAAACAGTAGACAGTAAAGATCACTTACATTAATAGTAGCAATGGAATGCAGGCTTGCATTCAAATTACATTGAAATAGATGCCACTCAGGTGTGAACAAAAACAAAACACACTCACCTGACTCTGTGATCATAATATTGTCATTGTGCCTGTCTCCTATTCCAAGGACAAAGGTTGCCACGCAGTAACCAGCACAAGAGTACACAAATCTATCCACGGCTGCCTGAAACTAATAAATTAAAGAAAGCAGCTGTAACGAAGGGCCAAAGCTCACAGGCAGAGTGCATGATTTGCATGCAGAAGATTCCAGGTTCACTCCTCAGCATCTCCACATTGGGCTGCTGAAGTCCTTGTCTGAAGTCCAGGAGAGCAATTGCCTGCCTAGGTAGACAATACTGAACGAGGTGGCTAAATGGTCTGATTCAATGCAAGATAGCTTTCTGTGTTTCCGTGATCAACTTTAGCGCCAAAATTTCACTGTTATAAAGAATAAAATGCTCTTTTTTCACAACCGTATGTCAGCTTATGCAAAACTTTGCTTTCAAAGAGTTGGTGCAGCTGTGGAAGCAAAACCAGATGCCTTCAGCTGCCCCACCTGCAACAAAACCTGTCTCTCCCCTACCAGCCTCTATAGCCTCTCCAACAGTTTGACTTTATCCCCAAAGGCGCCTTCTTCCATTGTCTCCCAAGACAGATGGAGGCCAACAAATAAATACTATGGGCTGTATCCAATATCAGTAATTGTTTGGAGAGTAGGCTTGTTGAAATTAATGGACGTGACTAGGTAAAGGTAAAGGGACCCCTGACCATTAGGTCCAGTCATGGCCAACTCTGGGGTTGCAGCGCTCATCTCACTTTATTGGCCGAGGGAGCCAGCGTACAGCTTCCAGGTCATGTGGCCAGCATGACTAAGCCGCTTCTGGCGAACCAGAGCAGCACACAGAAACGCCGTTTACCTTCCCACTGGAGCGGTACCTATTTATTTACTTGCACTTTGACGTGCTTTCGAACTGCTAGGTCGGCAGGAGCTGAGACCGAGCAACGGGAGCTCACCCCGTCACGGGGATTTGAACCGCCAACCTTCTGATCAGCAAGTCCTAGGCTCTGTGATTTAACCCACAGCGCCACCTGTGGACATGACTAACTAAGGTCTATTTATTACAGTGGGCCTCCTCGGAGTATAACTGAGTTGGATACAACCTCTTAACATTTTTGTATGCTTGTTGTTGTGGCCATTTTACAAGCAAGACAGAGAAGTTAATCAAAGCAAGCTGAACGAAAATGGGGAGCTTTTCCTCAAGTCCCAAGTCAGACTGAAATGGAAAGTTTTAAAGGCACCTATCTGAAGCAAGTACAATGTATTAAAATGTAACAATTCTTGTATCAATAATTTTATACATAGTTATGTAGAGTGAGGTTGTAAAGAGAACAGTCTGCTTCACACAAGAATTGGCATTTCACTGAAAAGTGGTATTGGGATCTTCCAAAAGTTTCTTTGAGTGCTCCTGGTAGGAATGGAATTGTGTCAACTACTGTAAGAATGGGACGCGGGTGGCGCTGTGGGTTAAACCACAGAGCCTAGGACTTGCCTAGGTTGGCGGTTCGAATCCTGTGATGGGGTGAGCTCCCGTTGCTAAGTCCCTGCTCTTGTCAACCTAGCAGTTCGAAAGCACGTCAAAGTGCAAGTAGATAAATAGGTACCGCTCTAGCGGGAAGGTAAATGGAGTTTCTGTGCGCTGCTCTGTTTCGCCAGAAGCGGCTTAGCCATGCTGGCCACATGACCCGGAAGCTGTACGCTGGCTCCCTCGGCCAATAAAGTGAGATGAGCGCCGCAACCCCAGAGTCTGTCACGACTGGACCTAATGGTAGGGGTTCCTTTACCTTTACTTTAACTATTTAAAAATAGTTTAAAAAACAACATACAACAATTCAAAATAATTACTCATAATAATTACATTTTTTTAAACCAGTGAAAAGAAGAAATAACTCACCTTTTCTTCAATTACACATTTATCCTTTAGCCACTGGTTTAATACTTCATCCTTAAAGGCTCCTGTGTTTCCACCTGTGCTTTGCTGGATTTTGGCTATCGTCGTGGCATCTTTTACAATTTCAATAATTCCTATAAAAATTAAAGGCATGCTAATATTCTACTATATATTTCAGAATGCTGTTTGTCCATTCTCTATGCACTTAGACATCTCTTAAGACATTGCAACCAAGTTTTGCATTATAGTTTCTGAGATCAGTGAGAAGGTTTCTTCCTGTGCTTGAATTCAACAGGATAACTTTTTGAATCAAAATAGCGGACTAAACCTTTCAAAACTGATTTGAACCAGATTCAAAACTGATCAAAAGAAATTTCTTCTTCTTTGAATTCCTGATCAATGCCGGGATTGAAACTCCTAGTATTTTCATACTGGATATTTTATTTCTCCTGCAAGGATTCTTAAAATAAGGCAAACCTGATTTTTTTTTAATTTTATTTTTTTGCAGAGTATATTACAGATTGCCTGTCATGGCAATGGCAACAGCAGTTATGTGTCCACACTGTTTGTGCAATCATAATAAAAAGGTTGGTGTTAAATGCAACATTTTGGTCTGATTTAGCCTTTGCTGATTTTCCCCAGGCTCCCCATGTAATGGGTTCACAGAACCAAATGCTATGTTCAAGTCTACAGTCATTCTGGGCACAAGAATATCTAACTTCCTTCTTCTTAGAAAACCCCATTACTTTATTCAAGCAATTAACAGGGATTCTTAAAAATAAAAAATAAAAATCAGTAAAAGTTCAAGACCCAGGCATGTCTGTGAAATTAGAATAATTCATCTGCATGTAAGAACATAAGTCCTTATGCAGCTGATTTTGGGACAGTCGGAAGACACCCCCCCCCCAAAAAAGAGATGGAACTCTGCCAAGTGTAGCTTAAATAGAATGGGAGGAAGGAGAGTCGTTGCCTACTTCCACGTTGGGAGAAAAAACAACTTCAAAACAGATGACAGCAATAGCTGAAAAAATGTACATGAGCAGGAATATGTTTGATACACACACAGATCAAACACAACTTGCTCTCATTGATGCATTGCTCTAGTTTACTTCAAAGATGGTCAAGGGACATGAATTTGATGCACGTATGAAGCAGAGAAAAAAATTACACAAAGGCAAGTGTCGACAGCAAAGTTACTCTAGAGAAAGCATTAACCATAGTCTCCATCCATACTTCTTTCATAGAACCTTGCTATTGTATTCATCGAATTGTGGAGTTGGAAGGGACCATGAGGGTCATCTAGTCCAACCCTCTGCAATACAGGAATCTTTTGCCCAACGTGGGGCTTGAACACACAACCCTGAGATTAAGGGTCTCTTTGTGCAAGGGGAAGTCAAGTAGGACTGGTGTATAACATAACCCCACACAAAAATAAAAATAAAATCCCAATTCCAGATAGCTCTGTGGGGTTTTGATCTTGTTAAATACTCTACCTATTTTATTTCCTGTAGAAATGCACCCATATGGCAACAGACATAAATCCAAGGATTCTTCCTCCCAGATGGACTCCATGATTCGAAGTATCTGGTAAAGCAAAAGACACAACATTGACTTGGGCTGCAATCCTATTCCTAACTGAACCCAGCTTGACGTGTTTCCGAGTAGACACGGTTAGGCTTGCACTGTTTAATCGTAACTATTAAGAAGCAGTTTTAATGTTACAAAAAAGATTTAAGACATATCCATTTTGTAGAAGAGGCAAGCTTACGGAGAAGCAGAGGATTTCAGAATAAAAAGCTAAATGTGAAATGTATACAAATCTTTCTGTCCTGATTTCATTGTCATCTTTCTGCATAAGACATTGATTCGTGTGAAGGGCTGAGACATTCCTCGTAAAAATGAAACCAGAAGCTGGGTGAACCTACACCATTCCAAGCCAGTCAGAATAAGGAAGTCCCATATGCATTCTCATCGAACATAGAGAAGGGGTTCAACACTGCACCTTGAAAGCAATACTACTTGGGCTATCCTGCAGTTGCAACTAGGATTCCTTCCCCATTGTTCTTGGAGCTGCTGCAGTACCTCTTCTGACCACAGGAGTGGAGCTGGCTGGGACTGGAGTTGGGTTTTCCACCCCCCTCCTGCCCCTGTAGCCAAGGGGTTAACAGACCATGTAACCATAACTTTTATATGCACTGAGAAACCAAGAACATTGTGTGGCTTGCTTTATTGTGATATTCGCTTCATTGCGGTGGTCTGGAACGAAACCATGGGCGTAGCCAGCTCCCCCCAATCAATAAAAATCAATTAAAATACTTAACTAACTGAGGTTCTGCCCCTCCTAACATATAAAGCCTGCCTCTGCAACAAAAATCCTGGCTACGCCCATGAACCGAACTTGCAGTATCTCTGAGGTATGCCTGTACAGTGGTACCTCAGGTTAAGTACTTAATTCGTTCCAGAGGTCCGTTCTTAACCTGAAACTGTTCTTAACCTGAAGCACCACTTTAGCTAATGGGGCCTCCTGCTGCCGCCGCGCCGCCGGAGCATGATTTCTGTTCTCATCCTGAAGCAAAGTTCTTAACCTGAGGTACTATTTCTAGGTTAGCGGAGTCTGTAACCTGAAGAGTATGTAACCTGAGGTACCACTGTAATTATTATGTACCCAGTCTCAAATGTCTGGAAACAATGATTTAAGGCATTAAACTGTGGTAAAAAAATGACCAAAAAATGACATCTATACAACCTGAGCCAGCAATGAAGCGGTTCACAGCATTAACACCCTAAAAGGGTCTTGTTTCTCCCATAGCTGCAACATTGGATTCAAACAGAAATCAAACATTGCTCTCAAATGTTGCTCTGACTCTCTGTCCCGCTTGCTGCTTTACTTCTAGGTCACACCAATGCAAACTCTAAACTCTGGCTTTGTCTAACCCTAACCCTAACTGCAAGCTGGAGGGGGGGGCCCATCAGTCTGTTTTCTCGCAGAGAGTTCCCTTTCCTTTGTTCTCTTAATGGCCCATCACCCAGGCAATCAGGAAATTAGCCTGGCTTATATTTTAAACACTTGCTGGACCCAGTGGTTAGAAGGATCTTGCGTACAGGCCTACCTCCTCCCCTGCAAATTCACAGCACAACATAATGCAGATAATACCTGTAAAATAAGCATGTCCTGTCGTAGGTCATCTCCATGTTTGAAGATGATGCCAATCGTTTCATTGGATAAGGACGTGGGATCTGCACATTTGAATTCTAGCCAAAGCGGTTTTTTCTTGGATGCCATTACTTTACACTTTTCTATCTGCAAGATACACATTCATATATTTCCTACAGCCAGAACCAATGTCCAAAGATTAACAAATCTAACAGCCGTTTTGAAATAGTGGATATACCCCCAGAGTTCATAAATGTAAAAAACTGTCTTTAAAATTATCTGCCAAAATTATATTGGTGTGGGTGGGTGTTTCACACATAGCCCAAGGTCCCTGTTGGAGGATTTGCTCCCCTCCCCATTTTCAGGGCTATATAATAATAATAATAATAATTATTATTATTATTATTATTATTATTTATTATTATTATTTATACCCTGCCCATCTGGCTGGGTTTCCCCTGCCACTCTGGGTGGCTCCCAACCGAATGTTAAAAACACAATACAGCATAAAACATTAAAAATTTCCCTAAACCTTCCTCTTGTCTCCATGCAAATTAATGGAGAAATTGCTCTTACCATTAACTTGCTGAAGGGGAGGGTGGAAGTGTGTTGGGGGAAGGGCGCCATAGAGAGATGCAGCCCTCAAAAGTGTTAGCTAATTTTGAATGTAGCCCTTGGGCACTGCGAAAAGGACTAGCATCCCTGCTCTACTCTCTCCCAGTTTTATTTTCCAGCTGGCTCTCAACATTCCATGACTCCTGGAGACAACTGAGCATGCTCAGTCCTCACTAAGCAGTTTATTCATTCATTTGTTTACATCTTTGGGATTTTTTAAAAAAACCAAATGTACGTCTGCATATCCTAGGGTTCACCTGAACATGCTGATACCTTCCCTTCTTGCTTCTCAGGGACCCTACTTTTTTCTCCAATCCTGTTCACAACTCAACCACCCAGGTTCATTATTTGAGAAAATAATATTTACCACAAGTGCTCCTGCTTTCAGACCAGGGTCATATGGAACTCTAAAGCATTCGGGAAACTTGCTGTCCTGTAGTTTCTCAAGTTTCTGTTTGAGCTGTGCGATTACTGAAGAGTGACCATTCAAAAAAAAAAAAAGGTCTGCAGTCAGAAACTAATAGTCAGGAGATAGTGGACAGCAACTTGGACTAGAGATTGCTAGTCCCATGATACTCAGCCAGCCTACATCTTAACCAGAAGTGGATAAAAAAAGTCTGTACCAATGGGAGATGTGTTTGCCTCCAATCTTAAGGTTAATTAGAACTTTTCCGGCAGTGCTGGAGAATCAGATCCAGCTAAAGTGATAGAACTTCATCTCTTCATGGGCCAACACTGACTACTGAGCAGGACCACTCACCAATCCATCACCTAATGTCACCCACTGAAAGCTGTGCATTGTGCAGAACTCCCTCCCAACTGAGATTAAACAGGCTAAATTTCAGGCATAGGACTAAGACTTTATTGTTCCAGCAGGCATTTTAAGCATCCATTTTATGATCATTTTTTATCGTTTTACTGTAGGATTTTGTGTGGATTGCTTTATGTACAATGTTTAGAGTTGCAAATAATTAAGCAGAATCTGAAAGTCTGAAACAAACTTGGTCCCATACAGTCTGAAATTAAACAAAGTGGGTGCAAGCCGGCTGTGCAGAGCTCTTGAAAATTTCAACTATCAATTTATTATCAGTGCTTGCATAGAGATGTGTGCGGTGCTTTGAAGCCCCAACAATCAGCTGGTCGACGGGACTTCAAAGCAATACACAGAGCTCTATACAAGGCCTGGGTTTTGAAGGCAGTTGCAGCTTTTTTCTCTTTTTTGGTTTAGCCAAATTAGTAGCACAACTGGTCATCATGGGTTGACCAAAATGACCACACGGGACAAATAGGGTGATTTGGGGGGGGGTCTAATTTAGACCCATGGGCAGGAGGATCCCCACTACTGTTTATGGCAGAGGTGTCCAAACTTTTTTCAAAGTGGGCCAGATTTGATGTAGTGAAGAGCCGTGGGGGCCGAACAAAGGGCCGACCAAAGTTCTTGAGCTTTTTTTAGGATTGAAGTTGCTGAACTAACTTTTTTTAGGGTTGGAGTTGTTGAGCTTCTTTTGGATTGAAGTTGAAGATTTTACCCTAGGAAATAAACTGCCACGGGGGCCATATTAAACTGACCAGCGGGCCAGATTAGGCCCCTGAAACGGACTTTGGACATGCCTGGCTTATGGAGTCATAATCAAGATTGAACACTTATTGTGGCGGACTCCAGAGTATTAGCATCTCATCTGAATTGAAATTGCTAACAAAGATGCTACTCAAAATGGGGGGGGGGGCTGTTATTATTGTTACTCTCTTAATCCTGCTTTTTTGTTAAAACAACCAAAGAAACATCCAAGAGAACAAAATGCAAATAAACAACATACATCGTTTCAAAACATCATTTCACAGACAACACTAGAATGGCAGCACTAAACCATCAGTAAAAATGCAATGGTTTAAAAAGAGCAGGCCATAGAAGACACAAGATCTACCCACCCCGGAAGAATGGCAGATGAAGGTGATGGACTATATGGAACTGGCGGAAATGACTGGCAGAATCCGAGACCAGGGAGAAGAGTCGGTGGAAGAAGATTGGAAGAAATTTAAAGTTTATTTACAGAAACATTGTAAAATTAAGGAATGTTAGATGGATGTTGGAATGAAGTAATGTGGTTTTAGCAGAAATGCTATAGAGGATTAAGAAAAAATAGATTCTTAAATGGTGAAAGGAGGGAAAGTAAAGTTACATTATATTAAGATAAAATATAGGACAAAAACTGGAAAAGATGGAAAGGATTTGCTGAAATAGCTAACTGAACTAGAATACAAAAAAGGGAGGTGTGAGGAGGTCAAGGAAATAAGTAAATGAAAGATAAGTTATGGGAAGATTCATTGCATTTTTTATTTTTTATTTTTTTGTTATTGTTGTTGTTGTGGTTTTTTCTTCTTCTTTTCTGTATTGTGATGTGATGTTCTGTTTTTGCTTAATATGCTGTTTTCTATTTTTCCTTTTTCCCTTTTGTAACCTTTCAAATCTTAATAAATATTATTTTAAAAAAATATAAAAAATAAAAAGAGCAGACCATAAAAAGTTCTGAAAATAGCAGGTGAATGAAACACTCGGTTGGGGGGAAATGGTCTTTGTAAGCCGTATAAAAACAAAAAGTGAACCATTTGCAACTTTCCATTTTGCACTGCCTACCAAGGATGCAAAGGCACCACAGAATTTTGCGAGTTACCTTTCATTACACCAGAGGTACGGTGCCGGTGGCCCTCCTGAACTTGTTGAGACTCTACCTCCTATCAGCCCCCAAGCGCCTAGTCAAATAGCAACGGATGATGGGATTTGTAGTTCAGGAAAAATCAAAAGGCCACAGCTTCCCTATCCCTGCATTACACACAATAAAAGCTTAACATACAGGTGAGATTGTGCTTAGAAGATCTGCACGTACCTTGAGGTGTGACGTCGTGCTTTTCCGCAGAAACTGACTTCATGTCCATTGTCACTTTATGCAACAGCTCAGTTACTTGAACCTGCTTCATGAAGTCTTGCAGCATGGCTTTCCCACAGCCTCTCAGATAAGCTTCCAGGATCACAGCAAACCTTTGCTGATAGTGCATGGACTGTGCAATCTCACTTCTCAAAAACCAAAACAAAAAGTGTCCTATTCTTTTGTTCTATTGAGTGGGAGGAAGAGAACGTATTAAAAGATGAGATTATCTTCTCAATTAAAAAGTCTTAATTCTGGCGGTATTTGTACATTTCATTTTCTTGAAGGAGTTTAGAATACTTACCCTTAAGCCTCGTTTTAGAAGAAATCGGGCTAATGCACTGTCATGATAAGGCTCAAATTTCACAGCCTGAAAAACAGATAACAAAAGTAAGTGGAGATTGATTTCATTTAATTTCTGTGCAGTATGTGAGACAAAGACATCTTTTATTTCCAGTTCCCGTTTTTTTGGTCTACATACCATTAATGTCAAATACAATGTAAGATTATTAAGGTGACCGTAACCAGGGGTGGGGTGCACATCAGGATAGAATACACACACATACAATTTGTTTATGGGTTTGATTATGCTTTAATTTTTAAAGACACAATCAGAAAGTTAAACATGCAGACCATTTTGACTCAGAATCCATCTTCCCTTTACTAAGTGTGGCAAGACAGAACAAGAGCAGATAAAAATATGAAAGTAAAACGACCACTTCTTAAAGCTCTAGCAAAGCTACAGCTTAGTACCTTGTCAATAACTAACATCCTGGAAATGCCAGAGCAAATAATGATGTTTTAGTTGCTTTCAGCCAAGATGCCCTACACCTGAACTGTGGGACAGATAAAAGCAAGTTTGCAGGTTGACAAAGCACTGGGCAAGGCAGTGCTTTGAAAGGGGCAGGCAAAAATAAAAAATCACCTGGTGTCAATGTGTCTTCAGGTGATTGACAGGTCCAGCTCCACACCCTGTCAAATTTGTCCCATGAGCTGTGGGGGGAGCTAATCATAGCATTGTAGAGCTGGAAGGGCCCCCTATGGTCATCTAGTCCAACCCCTTGCCATGCAGGAATCTCAGCTAAAGTATCCATGACAGACGGCCATCCAACCTCTGCTTAAAAACCTCCAAGGAAGGCCAGTCCACAACCTCCTGAGGGAGTTCGTTCCACAGTCAAACAGCTCTTACTGTCAGAAAGTTCTTCCTGACATTTAGTCAGAATCTCCCTTCTTGTGACTTGAAGCCGTTGGTTCGAGTCCTACCCTCTAGAGCAGGAGAAAACAAGCTTGCTCCCTCTTCCATGTGACAGCCCTTCAGATAATCAAAGTTGGCTATCATATCTCCTTTTAGCCTCCTCTTTTCTAGGCTAAAGATACCCAACTCCCTCAAATATTCTTCATAAAGCTTGGTTTCCAGACCCTTGATCATCTTGGTTGCCCTCCTCTGCACACGTTCCCGCTTGTCAACATCTTTCTTAAATTGTGGCACTCAGAACTGGACACAGTATTCCATGTGTGGTCTGACAAACGCAAAATAAAGTGGTACTATTACTTCCCTTGATCTGGACACTATACAGTACCTCTCATGATGACTCATGTTAAGCTTGTGATCCACTAAGACCCCTAGATCCTTTTCACATATACTACTAGTCAGCCAGGTGTCACACATCTTATATTCTGCCTAAGTGCAGAACCTTACATTTGTCCCTATTGAATTTCATTTTGTTAGTTTAGGTCCAAGTCTCTGTTAAGGTCATACTGAATTCTGATTCTGTCTTCTGCAGCATTAGCTACCCCTCCCAGTTTGGTGTCATCTGCAAATTTAATTAGCATCTCCTCAATTCATTCATTCAAGTCGTTTATAAAGACGTTGAACAACAAGAGGCCCAGGACAACCGTGCAGTGCCTCCCTTTTCACTTTTTTCCAGGATGAGGAGGAACCATTAATGAGTACTCTTTGGGTTCAGTCAGTCAACTAGCTACAAATCCAACTAACAGTTATCTCATTCAACCCACATTTAACCAGCTTTCTCACAAGAATATCAGGGGGGACTTTGTCAAAAGCCTTATTGAAATCAAGATACACTATGTCCACAGCATTCCCCTGATCTACCAAGCTTGTAACGCCATAAAAAAATATGATATTCTTCTGGCTTGACTCTCCCTTTTTATCACAACTGATGAGAAATTGATGAGTTCCCCAATTTCACGATCCTGCTGTTTTGACTGATGGATTGTTGTCTTGGTTTAGTAAATTTGGATGTGTTCTTATCCTACTGCATTTTGATCTGTTGTTCACCACTGTGGAGGTCCTATTGAACTCAACAGGCTTTACTCCCAGGTAAGTGGGGTTAGGATTGCAGCCTAAATGAAATATTGGGGAGGGGGGTGTTAGACAGGATTATGTCAAAAGTAGAATTCTCACCAAATTCAAAAGCATTTTCATCATTTTCTTATGATCGAGCAACTTCATTTGCCAATAAAAGTTACAAGACCACGTGATATGAGCAATTGCAGGGGTTAATCTACTTCTTACTGCAAACCCACTCCTCACCATTCTGCCTTTTATAATAGGAGAGTAAAGAGCCACTTGGTCCATCAAATTCATAATCTCCAAAGCCCTGATAATAGACAAATTCATGTGACTACTTTTTGAGGATAATAAACTAACACAAAATTACTTTTCTCCACAGGGTTCTTGTGTTAAAAGAACCTTGCAAATGTGTGCACAGAGACAAGTCAGGAAGCTGCTGTGTTCTGAAACACATTTCATTTTAAGATGTAACATGCAATTTTACCACATTGGGGCATTTTCACCAAGGGTACATTTGTCAGCTGACAAGAGGAATTGTAATTTTTCAGCGCAACACAGGCTACTTTGACCTAAACACAAGCTAGCATTTCCCCCCTTTAAATTATGCCCTTGGGAATTATTAAAACAACTGATATACTTCCTTTCATTTCAAGAAGATATACCAAGGTGGTTGACATACAAAGAAAAGCCAGCAGCAAAACAAGAATCCTATAGGGGATGAAGGTATACAAAAGCACACTGGTTGTTTAGAATGCTGTTCTAGTACTCTTACACAGGCAAAGAATCTGTGGTTAAAAAGAGAACTTTGGATATATTGACTACTCCATACATTTATGCAGAGCAATGGATGGCTGCAAAATCAATTGGAAACTTGCACTTCTGAATGGACACAACAGACATGAGATAAGTCATATCACTTAGTACCGGAGAACGTCAACTCCAGGAGTCAACCTGAGCATTTCTGCCTGGATGAAATGTGTCACTGAACCCTGATAATGCTTCTTGCTTGAGTGTGTGTGGAAAGTAGCCTGTATAAAGGTGAAATTTACATTAACTGCTCCACCCACTTTTGCTTCTGGCCCCACCCACCCTTGGCATGTCCCCCCTGGAAGGTTGTTCAGAACAGAATGTGCACCTCAAGCTGAAAAAGATTCCTCATTCCAACTGAGTGGGACCTGAAAGGCAATCTGATAAGTTCACACATTCAGATGCACCAGGCAATAGATGTATGCCCATCATGCTGCCCAAAGCTTTTCATGTTCCCTTAAAAAGAAAAGAAAAAATGGAATGAATATCCATCATACCTGAACTAGCTGCAAGAGATAATGAAGAACATCATCATCTTCTAAACCCTCCAGTTTTTGCACCGCCATTGCTCTCACGTTTTCATCGGAAAAGTTGCAGTCTAGAAGTTGCAGTGTCAATCCAACATCCAAGGTGCTTTGATCCCAAGCATCTCTCTTGGATAATAACTGGTATGTTTCAGCTACTATTTCTTGCTGTCCCCATTTCACAGAGCTAAGCAGCTTAGGGTATGCCTTTGGGTGCTTTATACTTTCATATCGGAAATGCCACAGTAACTCTTTGTCTTCAGGGGTAAGTGGATTAAGCAGGTCAGTGGCTATGATCTCTTCAAGCTGTTTGCGCAGTTGGTTGGGCATTTCAGCTCTGGCCCTGTCCGCTTGTGGATCAGATGCTATCTTGTGCTTGGGCAAGGCTATGGGGTGGCAGTATTTGTCCAGGACAATGGAGACAGCCATGGAATTGTCCTTATCTGGATTTGTGGCTGAAGTAAGCTTATCAGCATTTATACTTCCCTGCTCTTCCCCTTTGCCTGGAAATTTCCACATATGAAGCACGTAGTCACCAGTCCGGAGCAGGGACCGGTGGTCTATCAACAAAATGTTTACATAATAGAGAAGCTGGGTTTTGCATTTAGCGTCAGAACTTGGGGAATCATGCAAATGGAGGTTAGCCTTTGCAGACGAAGCTGGTGCTTTGCCACAATATACCTGCAGGGTCAGAAGTGCCCCTTTGGGCAAGTCTTTAATCTTAATATCAAACTCAAGCCAAGTATTCCACAGGACTTCTTCAGTAAATGGTTTAGCTGTAGTTCTTTTCTGTGAAAGGAGCTGCTGGCCATGTTGAATATTAGCCTCAACAAATACAGTAAGGTCTGTGTTTCTTGGAAGCACAGGGATATCAATGCCAATTATTTTGACCCTGAATTTCCTGTTGCAATCCCACAATGATATAGTGAATACTCTCTCATGATCCTTGCCATCTATTGTCAGCTGTTCATGGTATCCTGACACTCCAGTGCAGTCATCCACTAAGGGCCACTCCTCTTTTTGCACCTCATCCTGGTTTGGGTCAGGTGGCTCATCCAGGACCAGGTGAATTTCATCCTCATTCTTGAGGCACTGCCTTATCCAGTGGAAGTTTTTGAGAGGTGTGTCTCCTACAATGTACTCATCCCTGCCACTCACCCTCAGAACAAAGTTCAGCTCGCTGTAATCTTCAGGAATATTCATCAAAGATTTCTTCTTTGCCATTTTGGTGAAAAAACTCTGAAGGATGAGATCTGGACTGTCCTCAATAGGTACTTTAATCTTTTGGCTAGTTGTTCCTCTGTGTATATTTATTAAAATATTATTATTGACAATTTTACTAAGCAAGTAGTCTGGGAGTGGTTTGGATGTAATCCAAGGGTGCATTGAATACAATTTTGGATCTCTGCAGGTTACTTCAATTGTCCGTGGAGTGACTAACCTGCGTCGAGCAAATTCCAGCTCGTCATCGTGAACATTACTGACATCAGTAACATCATAGCCAATCAAATAATTGAGTTGCTTTTGAAACTTCTGAACGTCCTCTGTGGGCTTCTGCTTTTGGATCACATGAATTTTGCCCACTTTCTTCTGTAGCACTTTCCAATACAATATACAGTCAAGTGTCTGTATTATTTGATGTTTGTCATAAATTTCATACCACTGTCCCTTCTTTTGGTACTGAAGAACAAATTGATCTGGAGTGAATTTATGGTAGAAATCCGAGGTCTGGTTCCTCTCTATTGCTCGCATCCAAACTTGTGCTTTCATCTGCTCTACTGTACAGTTGCTGGCTATATCTATTAGCATGTTGCTTGTAGGGAGAATGAACTCAATGGATATCAATTCAGTTGAAGACAAGTTGCTTGCTGTGGAGTGTGGCTTCATCCTTCTCCTTCTTCGTTTGTTGTCGTCTCTCATAACAACAGGTTCTTCACTGCTCACCAACTCCATACCACAGGAAGACTAGGAACACGAGAGAAAAGAGCAGGTCATTTTTAGTCTTTTGTTATCAGCATAAAAAGGTAAAGGTAAAGGGACCCCTGACCATTAAGTCCAGTCGTGATCGACTCTGGGGTTGCGGCGCTCATCTCGCTTTATTGGCCGAGGGAGCCGGCGTACAGCTTCCGGGTCATGTGGCCACCAAGACTAAGCCGCTTCTGGCGAACCAGAGCAGCGCATGGAAACGCCGTTTACCTTCCCACTAGAGCGGTACCTATTTCTCTACTTGCACTTTGACATGTTTTTGAACTGCTAGGTTGGCAGGAGCTGGGACTGAGTAACGGGAGCTCACCCCGTCGCGGGGATTCGAACTGCCGACCTTCTGATAGGCAAGTCCTAGGCTCTGTGGTTTAACCCACAGCGCCACCCGCGTCCCGTTATCAGCATAGTTCTGCTTAATTTTCAGTTAATTTTTTTCTGCTGCATTTTCATTGAATTCAATCATCACCATCAGGTTTACATAAATGACAGCAGACATGAGCCAGCCAAAGTTAAAGCATTTTTAAGTGCCTTTGAGTGCCTTCAATAGTATTTAAAACAGCTTAAGTTCAGGAAAAATTGGATGCAACCCAGCCAAAAAGGCTGGATAGAATGGGTTGTATCCGCACTAATCACAAGTGGAGTTCCACTACAGTGGTGCCTCGCAAGACGAAATTAATCTGTTCCGCGAGTCTCTTCGTCTTGCGGAGCACAGCTATTAGCGGCTTAGCGGCTTAGCGGCTATTAACGGCTTAGCGGCTTTAAGAAAAAGGAAACAAACTCGCAAGAACTCGCAAGACGTTTTGTCTTGCGAAGCAAGCCCATAGGGAAATTCGTCTTATGGAACGACTCAAATAACGGAAAACTCTTTCGTCTTGCGCGTTTTTCGTCTTGCGAGGCATTCGTCTTGCGAGGTACCACTGTAATGGATTTCTCCTCTTAGCAGCAGAGGACACAACTCTTCCTGATTTCACCTTCCCCTGCAGCCACCCCATGCCCTTCGGAAAGCATATCAGAGGGTGGGGTACCATCTGGGATAGGGTGGGAGTAGTACAAGGTGGGGTGGGGGCTAGCCAGGTTTTCTGCCCCAGATTAAGACTCCAGAGAGGTGCCATTGAGGTTCCCAGCCTGTGTGTACGCGAATGTGCATGGGGAGTGCCAAACTGGGTCTTTGTTTTGCCCCCTGGTGAAAGGGGCAGCTAAAGAGGAGCCTCTACTGGAGTCCCAATCTTTTTTTGGACCACCACCCCCTTGGTTCAATGCCCCCTGTCCTATGAAATTTCCTATGAAAACCATTATTCCAAACAGCAGTTTGAACACCCTCCCCCCGAGGAAGATAATAACCCAATAAAATTCAAACAGTAAACATTAATTTTACATTTATTGAAAATCCAGTGGAATTTTATATTTATTTTATCCAACAAAATTGAATTTAAACCAGTGAAACCAGCTCTTCAAAGTCTGATAGTCATTTTTACTTACAGCACACACACACTTGCTTCCTAGTGCCTGGTAATCCCACTGCCCCCCACCTACTTTGGAAACCACTGATCTACTGGATCAGAATCCCTTCTGTCAATGAAAGGAGCTCTTTAATTTGCAGAAGGGCATGTCTAGATCCAACTCAAAGTAGGGTTTTTATATATAATCTATTGCCTCATAACGGCAGCAGATGACATATGGAAAAGCTTTCAGATTGTACCACAACACTACACTGATCTTCAAACTTCAGATTTGAGTCTGTGAACCCTAAACCTCAAGGTTAAAGATTCTTTCTTGGTTGAGTGAATGCTTTCTATTTCATTTATATCATCAACAAACTCATATGTAGGCTTCTAAGCCATTTGCAAAGTATAAATGCAAGTTACAGAAACATTTAAATTGTTAAAATATACAGTAAAGCAAACTCATTAACAACACCACACAGCAACTAAAACAGAAATTCCAGATCAAGGGAAAGACTGTGTAAACAACGGAAGAACAGGATACTCATCCAGATATTGACCAGGCCAAAACCTGCTTAGCTTCAGGAATAGAACTTCATCTTGGAACCATTTTCTCTGCTATTCAGCAGCTTCAGTTATCATTTTTTTAAAAAATTTAGACTTTCTGCTTGGTTGGTTCTTAAATAAAACACAGTAAGCACTCAAAAAAGCACCCAAAAATGCCCATTATAATAACGTTAAATTATAAGTCGCATGCCATTCACTCAAATAATGTTTGCTAGGCTATTGTGATAATTACCCAAAGTTTAAAAAAAAAAATCCCCAGGGTTTGGTTGTGCTCAGCCACACAGTTTTTATTCTGGCTCCTAAAATACTAAAGCTGAAGCCTGGGAACTCAAAATATTTTTACAGCCCTGCATAAGAGATGTTAATATTCTTTCCCATCCCATCAACACCACAATTTATGTCAGTTTTCTTTAATAGGAAATTAAGCACAACCTTTCCAAATATTTAAGTTGGCAACCTTTCCTAGATATGCTAAAACCCTAGAAGCACTCTTGAATTATCAGTCTCGTGTTCCTGGATAACAATAATATTTAACAATGCCTTTACTCACTAATTGAATCAGTATGCAGATCAGAAAGTATGTACTTAATAATTTAGCTGTCCCATGTATATCTCTCTATATTTACTACATTTACAATAAAACACAAACATTGTCAAAACAGTAACACAGCTTGTCAAAGAGAGGTAAAAAGACTCCACAGAAGATCGAAAAGCACAGGAAAGTGGGTTTTAAAACAACAACAACAACAACAACATAGTTAAGATCAGACCTAAAACCATCTAGTCCAGTATATTATTTTCAAGGAGCAGCCAAACATGCCTTCTTGGAGCTCAGAAGCAGAGAAGGTTTGATTTCCGCCCCCCGTTTGTCTCAAGTACATTCTGTCTTTCACCTTATCTGCTAATGTCCTTACTGTTTCAATTCTGCTACATCAAATGAAATGAAAGTTAACCAACCTAGACTATCCCTGGTTTAGTTTCCCCTTCTTATATAGAACTGTGTTGCTCAACAATAGCATTTTTTTCAGAATGGATTTTAAATGCACAAACCTACCTGTCGGTAACCCCTTCCCCGACTTTAACTCCCCAGAAAGCTTTCAAAAGAAAGATGGGAACACAACCAACCCAAATTGGGATGGCATAAATTACTGAACAGCATTCTTAGTTTTCTAAGAGCCAGCTGATAGGAAACACCATTTTAAAACACGGACGCAACATTTAACAAAACATTACCCCCAATTGAAAAGCAGAAACTGAGCTCCTGGAAAAGACTCATCTGTACAGATTTTAAGTCTGGCTGCTTTAAAATGACAATCATTCACAACATGAAGAGTAGTTTGTGTAGGCTGTTCCGCTTTTCTTGTTTGTCTTCATAAGCAGATGCAAAGGAAGTGCTCTAGTAACCAGGAAGGAAGCTTTAACCCACTTGGTTATAAAGAGGATTGCAATATATATATATATATATATATATATATATATATATATATTTTTGATGCTTTTCCTGTTACGAGCAGTCAAATACATGCTTACCGTAATAGCAACTTTTAAAAGAGGAACCGGTTTTTCACGCATACATGTGGAGACATATGCTAAAAGTTGCCCAAAAGAATAAATAGGAAATGAATTAATTCAGCATAAAGGAAAACAGCAGACTATGAATCATATTTGGTAATAAACTATTCTTAGTGGATCACCAACTGCACTATGCCTTCCTGGGAGGCACAGAACACTTGGAGTGGATTCTATGAAGTTCCAGGGAGGGATCCGACTCTGAGACAGGTGCAGCCTTCTTCCCAACAGCCACCAAGATTTAGCTGGGTTAAATGCCCCCTGACAGAGAGTCCTCCGTGATTCATGTTGGATCTAGAAGTCTGACCCATCCCAATACATTTTGCAAAGTGCATCTGCTTTGTACTAATGGCATTTCCCTATGTGTGATTTAGGAGGGATCAGAGATGCTCTGTCCTATTCTTTTTCTAATGCCAATGTTGGATTCATGAGCCCACCCATAGATCCTTGCACATAGCAGCAGGCTGAATGCACACAACATGCTTATGTGTAGAACAAATTATTGCTACTGGGTTGGGGAAGCTAGATGTTAAATCAAGCTTAGAAGGGTGGGACCGAGCTCAAAAAGTCTGAGAAACACTGGCCTGCTAGTAACTTGTTGATAATAACAACCAGTACAGTGGTACCTCGGTTTACAAACTTAATCCGTTCCAGAAGTCCGTTCTTAAACCAAAACCATTCTTAAACTGAGGCGCGCTTTCCTGCCGCCGGTGCCCTTCCACCGTTCGGATTCCGCTCTTAGACCATGGTAAAGTTCTCAAACCAAGACACTATTTCCAGTTTTGCAGAGTTTGTTAACCAAATCGTTCTTAAACCGGACTCTTCTTAAACCAAGGTATTACTGTAATTGGATAAACACACACCATGTTGTTTAAGCTGTAAAACTTTCTGGTTCAGATCTAACACTAGATGTGTTTTTAATCTCCTGTTGGAAGCCACCCAGAGTGGCTGGGGAGACCCAGCCAGATGGGAAGGGTAAAAGTAATATATTGTTGTTGTTGTTGTTGTTGTTGTTGTTGTTGTTGTTGTTGTTATACTAAACCAAAGCTGAGCATCACATTAATGAGCCTCAGCAAGCCTAACTGAAGTACATGCTCCTATCCCACACTGCTACTTATGCCCGAGCCAGGAATCCTGGTTTAAAACAAGCAATGGTTAGTTGCTAAACAAGGCTGCTTGATTACCCATACCTTTATGGCATGAAGCTGGCTTGGCTAGCAACTACTGTAACCACTGTTTGTTGCTAACCAGGACTCACTACACCAAGATTATTTGAAACTAAAAGCAAGCATGGCTCAGGGAGAGAGGAGCATGCAAGCTACTAGGGCTACATACAAACCATACATTTAAAGTACATTTGCCCCACCCCCTTCTCCTGGGAACTATAGTTTATCCTTCACAAAGCTACAGTTCCCAGGATTCCTTTAAGAAGCAATGTGTTTTAAATCTATGGTGCATATGCAGCCTAAGTCATCCAAAAATGTGGATGGTTTAGTGTTATATGAACCAGTATTTCCTCTTTTAAGCAAGCAATCTAAGGAAGTCAACAAATGGAGGAACTGGGCTTGTTTTTGATATATGTTATTAGTAACAGAAGCGATGCAGAGCACCAAGATCATTGGAATAGCGCATGCATCTACAGACTACTGCTCTGGGAAATAAAAATGGAGGGAAGGTTTCGGGGCCTGCAAGAATACAGATGGTACACACCATCAATTGATGAGAAGATCTGCAGTCTTTTAATAAAACTATTACAGGTTCCAGACATGTGCTTTTTGATTGATGGGTACTAGTCTAGACCAAGACAGCTAGTCACCCACAATGACATGTTCTGGGTTTTTGGTTATTCCCACCCAAATCTGAGTGCCCCCCCCCCGAAATCTTGCAGAGGGCCCACTTGCAAGAAGATATTTTGCTGTCCCAAAATACTGCTGTCCTGAACTACGGAATTTGCTAATATCACTGAAACATTGTATTTTCCCAGAAGAAAAAAAAGTGCTTGCTGTTAAGATGAACCAAGTCACCTCCAATGATTTTGTCAAGTTGTACCTAATTCTGTCAGAGTCAAGAATGAGCTTCGAAGCTAACAAGCTCTGCTGGGGGGGGGGATCTTTGTGGTAGAAACAATTTGCCATATTCACAGAAAGTATTTTCTTGACATAAAAACCTGCAAGGGCAACTCTGTAAGGGAACAAAGCAAAACAAAACAAAAGACAATGTGCAGTCACAGCAGCGAATTCATTTGGATCCAGCCCACTTAGCAGGCACCTGACAGCAAGGGATTTCAGCCATGTTTTCTACCTTATAAGAGGTGGAGCAAGCAGCAACATCAGTAATTTAAAGCCACTCAACATCTTCCACTTCTCACTGAGCATGAACTCTGGCTGTGCCTTGAAGGAGGCAAGCATGTGGTGGAAAAGAAAATGAGTAGGTGATGATTCGTTTAAAGGCTGTAACTAAAATGTTTTAAGAATTCTGGAAGCTGGTCCTTACTCTGCTTTGCACTTGGCTGTGAATGCTAAGTATCTCTTGCAATTGACAGGGATACAGAAAGATCCCGCGCTCAGCTACTAAGGCAGAACATCCATCTTCATCATATGAGTGATGCAATTCTTATCTAACCTGGGATGCTACTCTCATCACTGGTTAGCAGGTCCACACTATGCATCTGAAGCATATTCAATGCACCAAAAGGCCTGCTGGATCTCAGACACTGGAGGCTAGTCCTTTTCATCCTTGCAACCACCAAACTGCTGCACCAAGGCCAAGGAATCCTCACTGTCATAGCAATGCTTGTTTTCATCGTAAGGTGAGACAAGGCACTGACAAAACAATCAAGATACTCCATTGACAAGGGAACCTATAAACCAACATGTATTGTTTCCAGCATTACCACCCAGGGCCCAACAATCTGGCACTTAAGCTGCTTTGGCTTTCAACCTGTTCATGCAATATTTGAATTGTTAAGATAATAGAACAGTGTGTAATAAAGAGAAGAGCCTTACTCATGGTTCTGGTTATATGAAACATTTGACAGTTTCACATGTGCCTGGAACAATAAGCCAGGGAATGGACGGACTTGCAACAAGCACATGGAACAAATTATTTATGTCAACATCCATCCAAAAGCACTGTACAGTAATTGGAGAGCCCTGGTAAAATAACTGCCTCCAATGAAAAGCTAGATCTGTTCATCAAAAGAAGCTACTCCTCTCCTGCACTTCAATTCACAGGGCATTTCCCTTATCAATTTTGATTTGCTTCAGTTTGCTTTTTTGGTGACCCGAATCAACAGAGAAAAGCAAGGCCTTCAGGGAGTCCTTGCTCTAACTCAGAACACCTTGCTAAAACCACAATTTGACTTAGGCAAGAAAAAGCACCTGCAAGGCACCTGTTTGAGTTGTGATAGCTTATACAGAGCCGCTGAACACCCCTATTAAACATGCTTTTTGCAAAACCACATTTCTCTTTTGTGCCTCTAATGTGCTATGAAAAACATTAATGAAGTTAGTATTGAACACTGGTAAGTGTGACAGACTGACCAAGGAGGAAACTGGTCTTCATTTGTAGAAATGAATGTTAAAGCACACAAATAACTTTGAATATGTTACTGCTCATTTGAATTTTTTTATTACTAAAATATACTTCCAAAAAAACTGCGCCTGACATCTCCTAAACAGCAAGCAGGAGGAGAGTTATGTTTCAAAAAGGCATTCGCCCATGCCCTAATGTATGCCATCTCTAGCCATGCAAATACTTATGCACAGTCCCTTGGATAGAGCTTTTGCTTGTGTAAAGGCATTTCCAGGAACAGGAGCTTAAACCGGAGCCTAAAATAATGGGGTAGAGTTCGAGAAACTACAAAAGGCCTTAGAAACACATGGCAAGAGTCTAAAACACTTTGTGCCCTTTACATTTGTAATAACTTCCAACACAAAAACACTGAACTACTCTCACAATCTATTTCTTACTCTCTTTGAGACCAGGGATAGCAGTGAAAAATTTGTGTGTTGGGGGGGGGGGTGTCTTAATCAGCAAAAAGTTTCATTTACATCTACCAAAACCTCCGTGTGTGTGTGTGTCTTTTTGACACAATACCTTAATTTTTAGAACATCCATTTTTATTATTATTATTATTTCCCCCCGAATTCCCTATTACAGCAGCAGCAGCGCACCAGAAGGAAACTACAGTAATTTTTAACACGAGACTAGCGAGAGGCCCAACCCATCATCCAACTTTCTAGCAAAGTTTTCTCCCTGCCGCGAGACGGAGAGACCCAACTCCCCCAAAGTTAGGCGGAGAGTTTTGCCTGCCGCTTTTCCTCCTCCAGGTGAGGAGCTGGATGAGCGGCAGGTACGACTTTATGGAGGAGGAGGAGGAGGAGGAGGAGGAAGTCGCCGCCAGAGAGAACGTCGGAGCGGGGCGACGAGCACACACGCGTCCACGCATCCACACATGCACGCTGCCCTCCTCCTCCTCCTCCTCCCGGGTTCCTCGCTCTACTTACTGAGGCCGCCAAGGGGAGAGCGAGCCCGCCTGCCTTCCGCCGCGCACGCAGGTTGCCTGCCTGCCTGAGCCCCGCAGCGAGGGCTGCGCTTGTTTACATGGCCGGCGGCCGGCTCGGTTGCCCCCGCGTCCTCTCGTTGCCCCGGCGGGGCCCTTCCCAGAAACGCCTCTGAGGAGCCTCGGCTTCCTTCAGGCCGGAGGGCGGGAGCTGCCCAGCACCTGCCCAGGCGGCGGCGGAGGCCTCTCTCTCGCCCCCTTCCTCCCGAAAGGCGAAAGGCAGCGGGAAGAGGGTAGGCCCGAGCCAGCGCCGAGCGGCTCGTTCTGAGGGGAAAGGATCCGCCAGAAGGGAGGCCGCCGCAGGGCCCGGCCTGGGCCGCAGGAGGGCCGCGTTCACCGGCCGGAGGCGAAGGCGCGCAGAGGCCGCCAAGGGCCGCGGACAAGTTCGGCAGGAGCGGCCCTCAACTGTCTGTCGTGGGGCGAAAAGCAAAGTTTGGCCTCGCGAAGAGTCCAGGGCAGAGTAAGGGCCGCCAGTCCGAGGCCCAGACGAGCTCGCGGAAGAAACTAGCTAAATAAAAATGCGAACACGTAGGAGAGAGCGAGGAACGGGTCCTCTCTTAAACAGAGGTTAAAAGGCAAAACGTTAGAAAGGGAAGGAATCCATGCAAAACTGAATAATAAAAGCGCATAAAAACAAACTGAAGATTCCGACCCTTCCCTAGGAAGACACAGCATTCTTTCTTAGGGAAGGTCCTCACAACTGCATTTTTATCTTGTCCACCCAATAGATAAGCTGGAAACACATAAGTTGGCCTATTCACCAGAAGTTATGCTTCTAAACTGTACAATTGTCTTAAGTTCTCTGGGCGGTTTACAATAAAGGGTTAAAACCCAAAAAACAAAGAGGCAAAAACAAGGCACTGCAGCCTGGAGATGCACTTCCTTGTCTCTTGAAACAGGGATGCAAACAAAATAATAATTAAAACCTATATGCCACCTTTTCAGCAGCCTGACCTTGTGCATGTTTAATCAGAAGTAAGCATTTCTACATTCCATTTCTTCTTCTTTGGCGTTCACTCGTAGCTGAGTAAGATTGTCTTCCATAAACACGGTTTTAACAATGAGTCTCGAAGTGACTGTGGAGGCTACAGGTAATTCTGGATCCACACATCCTTCCACAGTGGGGACATTGGTTTCCGGGCAGGAGTTGATCACGGTGTGGATTTGCCAAGCGTGCCTTCTTCTTGGCACATTTCTCCCTTGCGTCCTGAGTTCGAGTGTCTTCAAAGCCCATGACACCTTCCATGTAACAACTTCCAGTCTAACCTGACTGGCCTGGGAGTAAAGCCCCTTTGAATGGGTATTCAGCCCATCCCATTGCATGGTTACTCAGAAATAAGTTTTTGTTGTGCTGAGTGGGACTTAGCAGTTGCAGATCTTGGGGCCTCAAATTTCAGTGGCACCCTGTGCAATGCCAAAATTTGGCACACACACAAACACTGCCTCTTGCCTTCCATACTGCATCATAGTTGCAGGACCCCTTTAGCGGCCCTGAGGCTCCATGCCCAGTGCCACTGAATCAGTAGCGCTCCACTAAATCCACCTCTAGACTTCTAACTAACTGCAAGATAATTTATTTTAGGATTGCAACATTAGCTGCAACTAAATCTAAATGATTTCAATGAGACTTCGTTCCAATTAAGGCTGCAGTCCTGTCCAAGTGCATACAGTGAGTCCCATTGAACATATATCTCCCTCCATCCATATACAGTGGTACCTTGGGTTACATACGCTTCAGGTTACAGACTCCTCTAACCCAGAAATATTACCTCGGGTTAAGAACTTTGCTTCAGGATGAGAACAGAAATCGTGCTCCGGTGGCGTGGCAGCAGCAGGCGGCCCCATTAGCTAAAGTGGTGCTTCAGGTTAAGAACGGACCTCAGGAACAAATTAAGTATGGTACTTAACCTAAGGTACCACTGTATTCATTTAAATAGTACAGAAAAACACTGATCCCTCAATATGCTTGTTGAGTCAGTCTATACATATCTAATCAGTAGAGGCGAGTAAAGTCTTGTGCTGTAAGTGCATTGAAAGATCGGAAAGGTTTGTGGGGGGTTTTTACATAAGTTTGAAAAAGATTTAACTTAAGATGAAAATGACAGCTGTTGTTCAATATTCAGCCATACTTGTGAATATTTGCTAGGTGATTAATTGTTAAGTAACCACAACTCTAATAGTGAAACTACTACAGTCAGTTGAAGTGCTGCAAGTTAGCAGCCTGCCCCATGGGGCCTTGCAAAGAAAAGGAATCCTGAGTAATTCCATCCCCCTCAATGACTGTGCAACTGGACAAATCAGTTGTAAGGTCTAAAAGGTCATTAATTCCATCAAGCTTCTGTAATAAGAGAGTGTCTCAATCCCGCAATTTACGTGGGGGTTATGGGACTCACACCTAAAGCCAAAATCGCATATAATTAAAACACATTGGATTCAATGGCCAAAGTCTTTTTCCTGCTTTTTGTCCCCTTTCTTTTTATTTTATTTTTTATTTGCCAAGTGCATGAAGCTGAATGCACCCAAGTTAAATGGACTTGCAAGTTGTGGGCTTGCTGTGTTTCTTTTTGCTCTTGGTTTTAATGTATATATGGGGAGGCGGTTGTCTGTCTGTTAGTTTATTTGTTGGTTGGCAGGTCTCTTTGTATTGCCCTGGCCAAGATAAAGTGATAAGAAATTGAATGTATAATAACCTTACTGCTAGTATATTCACTGGGACACAACTGGTATATTCACTCTCAATCTCTACTAAACTCAGCTTACTTGCTGCCGAATTTGGCAGCAAACTTCAGTTTGCTTATCAACCCACTCTTACTGTATCTAATTTACACATGAACAATAAGTATAATGTGAATAATTTAAATTTTAGCATATCTTATTTTAGTATTACAAATACAAATGATCAGACTTTAAAATCGATACAAAGATACAGCACAGTGGAATTTGCAAGTAAGTACAGTGGTGCCTCGGGTTAAGAACTTAATTCGTTCTGGAGGTCCGTTCTTAACCTGAGACAGTTCTTAACCTGAGATACCACTTTAGCTAATGTGGCCTCCTGCTGCCGCCACGTGATTTCTGTTCTCATCCTGAAGCAAAGTTCTTAACCCGAGGTACTATTTCTGGGTTAGCGGAGTCTGTAACCTGAAGCGTCTGTAACCCGAGGTACCATTGTAATTACAAGTGGGTTCTACTATAACTATACAGTGTGTGGCTTGTCATACGTCAGGAAAATTCCTGACATGTCCTGGTTTTTGGTGTAAAAATGGCATTGGGGGGAATTTTAGCAAATCGGCAAAATGTCTGGGGAAACTTGGATGTATGGGAATGTGATGGAAAAGCAGCGGAAACAGCAGTGAAAGCTGTTATGGGAGGAGATCTTCCCCAAAAGGCTCAATAATTTTACTTTTTGAAACATGGCGACCCTAATATATTGCAGTGTGGTATGCTTCAGTTCAGGATTCCTGTTACTTCATTACATTGCCCTCCTATGTGGTTTTCCATTCCGCACACCCCAAACAGGCCATATGAATTCCATAGGCTCAGTTCTAATTGCGGGGGAGGAAACCCTGAAAGGTGTTTTTTTTTACTTCTGCAAAACTTGAGTCCCCCTCCACACCTACTGATATCTCCCTCTTGTGTGTGTGTGTGCTGTCATTTTGGCTACGTAAGCCTAAACTGATGAAACAAAGTCTAAATGTCAGAAATAAGAGACAACATAATAACTTACTTGCGTCTCACTCTTGGGAGGTGCACATGATGTTCCTAAACAGTATCCGATTCCAAGTAATGACTCCGCCTCGGCCTACACATATTCACAGAGGAAAATGTTTGAGGCCTCTGCCCCTACATTCAACCCATGCACACAAAAATTAGATCATAACAGTCCAATACTGAGAAAAGTATAACTCTTCTGTTACCTTTTAAAGCTACAATTACCGTATTTTTTGCACCACTCACTTTTTTCCTCCTAGAAAGTAAGGGGAAATGTCTGAGCGTGTTATGGAGGGACTGCCTGGGGGGATCTGCTGCAGTCGTGAGCAGAGGATCCATGGTTCCCCGTCCTTCCCTCCTCCGTGGCTCCCTTTGAAACAGCAAAGCGGGAGAAGAGCCGCTGAGTGGGGAGGAGAGAGGGACAGAGAGCCTGCTTGCTTTAAAGGAGCAAAGCGGGAGAGGAGAGGTTGGCTCCTTTAAAGCAAGCAGGCTCTCTGTCCCTCTCTCCTCCCCACTCAGCTGGCTAAATAGCAGCAAAGTTTTTCAGCGAGCCGGGGAGGAGGGAGAGAAGCTGAGTCTGCTTGCTTCTCCTCTTATACCCCTCTTCTGCATTATTAACAGCATCCTTCTCCACCCACCCCACGCGTGTTCCTTGTCCCTTGAGTGCTTTTCCTTCCCTCCCCACTGAAAACGTGGTTACAAAGCACGGAGCCACATGGATCCTCAGGATTTTTGCATTGGGCTACCCCAAACTCACCGTCAGATCACATGTTTGTGGCCACAGCATGAACCACAAAAATCATACATCCACTGTTTCGTTTAGAATATTTTTTTTCTTGTTTTCCTCCTCTAAAAACTACGTGCGTGTTATGGTCGGGTGCGTGTTATAGAGCGAAAAATACGGTAATTTTAGCGCATATTGTTGTCTTGTTTTATGATAGAACATATGCCTAAACATAGCAGGGGGAAATATAGCCAAACTTCGCCCATTTTATTATAGTCTGAAAACATTCAGCTGTGGGTTGTTGTTTTTTTAAACTGCTATTAGGTTGTTGTTTTTAATCAATTTATAATCTTACTCAGGTCATAACATGGGAGCAGGCTTCTGGTCAGTTGGCACCTCAAACTCTTACAAAACTGCAATGGATTACTTCATATTTCTGTTGCCTTTTTATCCAGTATTAAAATTTACTACACTGATATTCACATGCTTTCTTAGAATTTTAAATAAAAATATATCAATCCAATAGTGCTATCTAAATGCACAGATTAATGAAAGTGAAGGCCTCCGATTTGGTATTCAGATGAAGCAACTTTAATCAAAATTAGTCATGCACACAGGCAATCAATTTGCTAATATAAACCAAAGGAAATGCAGTCTGGATACAGTTATTTGCCCTGTATTTCTTTTGTGAGAATAATTACATGAGGCCTGTGATCATGAACTTAAATGGGAACAATGAATTGCAAGGAATGTGGCACTGTGATTTTCATTCTGGCAAATATTTATCCATCTCAGGCTCTCTCTTTTTAAAATGCATAGTTAGCTTCCTAGCAGAAACATCACATTTGATGACATTTGCTGTAATGCAGTAGGGCTGCCAATTTTGTTTTTCTAACAAGGCTCTTGACAGGCAAAAATTTCAGCTGATTTTTTTTCCATTAACAGACATCCAAGGCATGCAGTCCTGCCAGGGGAAAAAAGTTTTATTAATCCAGTGACGTGTAGCATCAACAATGAAGGCTTGATTTCCACTATTTTGTGTGTGTTTTTTCTAGCTTGTGCTCCTTACAATGCCAAATATATAAGTAGAGTTCCGCTAATATTATTACTAAAAACCAGAGGCAGATCTTACTCATAAAGAAACTATATGGTTTCTCCAGGGGTGTCACTTGATTAAAGAAACTGTACTGTGCAATTGTGTGCATGTCTGTGCAGAAATAAGTACCACTGAGTTAAATGGGGCTTACTCCCAGGTAAGTGTAATCCTATGCACATGTACCTGGGAGTAAGCTCCACTGAACTCAATAAGGTGTACTTCTGAGTAGATATGTATAGGACTGAACCATCAGGCTGAAAGCCTAACAGTGTCTACTTGGAAGTAAGGGACTTTGAAGTTGTATTTTGTTGGTTGATTACATTTCATACAAGTAAAAGCAATAGTTCTGAAGTCAAAAGCCTCATTTTGCTTTAAAATGGTAGACACATCTGCCTGCCTGAGAGCAAAAATCATAGAAGAGCCATTGATTTCTGTAGGAAATAAATTTGTATTTGTAGGGTTTTTTTAAATCAGCTACCTGATTAATAACTAATGAAACATTGTAGCCCTAGTTTTAATGGGAACATTATCATTTAAAATTGCACTTCTACCTCTTAAGTTTGATATTTTGTGTTCATAAAAGGGAGAAATCTACAATGTTGCCTGAGTAATGTAGAGATTAACATATAGTTGCACAATCCCAATTTCTGAGTAGTGTGAGATTCCTGGGGGAGTTTCTGGCATTCACCCAGTGTTCATGTTTCCTTTTGGGAATGAAGCACAGCAGGGAATGTGGAGTCTTTAGGATATATAGTTTATTTACACATATATACAACCTTAGCTATGATGAAGGGGTTCACGGCATCAACACCCGAAAAGGTATTATTTCTCCCATAGCTGCAGCCCTGGATTCCAGCAGAAAAGCAAACACTGTGCTCTTCCTCTCCACCTTTTACAGCCTGTCATCTCTTCGCCCCTAGGCCACATCACAGCCAACTCTAAAACTCTACTTCAAACTCTGGCGTTGTCTTCTAACTAACTCAATTGCTGTCTGGGACAAACTCACTCTCATTTTGGCTTTCCTAGACAGCATCTTAAAAAGCAGAGACATCACCTTGCCAACAAAAGTCCGTATAGTTAAAGCTATGGTTTTCCCAAAACCATATTGTCAGAAAGCACTGTTTAATGTTTGGATAAGATACAAGGATTTATTGGAAAACAAAACTCCAAGGTGGCTGTCACCAATGGAAGCGAAAGCCTTGAAAAAGCTCAATATGGAGGTCAAATGGCCAAAATATTGGGAAATTTTGGAACAAGATGGAGACAGATTGAAATTGCAGAGTTTTGAAAAACTAAAAAACAAAGTGTGAGACTGGCTTCATTATTATCAGATAATGGAGGCATACAGTTTGGATAAGAAAATTGGCTTTCAGGTGGAAAAATCAAAATTAGAAACAGAACTGTTAGAACCCAAAACTAAGAATTTGTCAAGAATGTATAACTTGCTGCTGAAATGGAACACTCAGGATGAAACGGTGAAATCTGCTATGATTAAATGGGCACAAGATGTTGGACATAACATCATGTTCGCTGACTGGGAACAGTTGTGGACCACAGGTATGAAGTTTACGGCATGTAATGCCTTAAGAGAGAATATTATGAAAATGATATACAGGTGGTACATAACCCCAGTTAAGCTTGCAAAAATTTACCATTTGCCTGATAATAAATGTTGGAAATGTAAAGAAACTGAAGGTACATTCTTTCACCTTTGGTGGACGTGCCCAAAGATTAAGGCTTTCTGGGAGATGATATATAATGAATTAAAAAAGGTATTTAAATATACCTTCTTGAAGAAACCAGAGGCCTTTCTCCTGGGCATAGTCAGCCAATCGGTGTTAAAAAAGGATAGAACTTTCTTCATGTATGCTACAACAGCAGCAAGAATACTCATCACAAAGTATTGGAAGACACAAGATCTACCCACTCTGGAGGAATGGCAGATGAAAATGATGGACTACATGGAATTGGCGGAAATGACTGGCAGAATCCGTGACCAGGGAGAAGAGTCGGTGGAAGAAGATTGGAAGAAATTTAAAGATTATTTACAGAAATATTGCAAAATTAATGAATGTTAGAGTGATTTTGGATTGAAATTAAGTGGCTTCTAGCTGTATAGGCTTTAAAGTTTTAAATAGATTAAGATTAAGGATTAGGATTAAAAGGTTAAAAGAATGGAAAATTGGTTTTTAATAGGTAAAAATTTAATGTTATATTACATTAAGATTAAGGACTGGGATTAAAAAGGAGGAAAGGAATTGCTGGACTAACAAACTGAATTGGAATACAAAAGAGGGAGGTATGAGGAGGTCCGGGAAACAAGTAAATGTAAAAGTAGGGATGAAAAGATGGAATTGTTTTTAACTGTTTTTTCTTTTTTCTTTTTGTATTTTGTATTGTGTACTTTTCTTTATATTCTTGAATTTCTCTTTTTTGTTGATGTGATTTTTTCTTTGTGAAACTTTAATAAATATCATTTAAAAAAAAAAAAAGCTATGGTTTTCCCAGTAGTGATGTATGGAAGTGCGAGTTGGACCATAAAGAAGGCTGATTACCGAAACATTGATGCTTTTGAATTATGGTGCTGGAGGAGAGTCCCGTGGACTGCAAGAAGATCAAACCTATCCATTCTTAAGGAAATCAGCCCTGAGTGCTCACTGGAAGGACAGATCCTAAAGCTGAGGCTCCAGTACTTTGGCCACCTCATGAGAAGAGAAGACTCCCTGGAAAAGACTCTGATGATGGGAAAGATGGAGGGCACAAGGAGAAGGGGACGACAGAGGATGAGATGTTTGGACAGTGTTCTCGAAGCTACCAGCATGAGTTTGACCAAACTGCAGGAGGCAGTGGAAGACAGGAGTGCCTGGCGTGCTCTGGTCCATGGGGTCACAAAGAGTCGGACACGACTAAACGACTAAACAACAACAAATGGTTCAGGACACCCGACCACCCCCCCCAACAGCCGAGAGGAGCTCCAAAACCAGGAGGACAGTGGAGCTAACGCAGAGAGGGAGAAAAAGAAAAGGGGGAAAGAAGAAGAAAAAGAAAGAAAGAAAAAGGAGCCCCCAACGTACCGCTGCTGCCCCATCTCTGCTGACAAGAAAGCAGAGGAGAGGTAGGTGAGCACGGGAAGGCAAAAGAGGCTCCGGAAAAAACACGTGGCTGGGCCCCACCGGGAGCTCCAGCAGCGAGGAAAAACACAGAGAAGCTGCATAACAAGGGGATTTCCCCCTTTCTTTCTTCTCTTTTCTTTTTTAACCCCCTTTGTTTTTAACCCTTCCTCCCTCCCTCCCCCTTTAAAATATATATATATATATCTTTTTCTCCCTCCCCCATATACCTACTTTTATCACTTTTCTTTTTAAAAGAGGGGCCACTGCTGCTGCAGCCACCCTTTATTTGAATCTTTATTTTTATTGCTATCTTTTCTACACACTATTTAAAGACACACTTTTCCACACACACACTCTGAATTCAAACCTCATTTTATTTCCACCTCAAACTCCCCTCTTAAGAACTAAAATGGCAGTACCCAGGAAACAGCCCTGAACCATCACAGGCCATTTCCTGGGACTGCCACTTCGCCCAGACTTTCCACTCCCTTTTACCTATCCTCTTTTACCTATACTTTACTCATTTTAAAAAAAAAAAGCTCTATCTATCTATCTAAAGACAACCCCCCTTTTTTTTAACCTTTAATTCTCATTTTTATCTTTTACCCGTACATTTTTAATTACTTTTTTTACAAACAAAAAATTATAACAATAATTAGGGGAAAATATTATTATTATTATTATTAAAAAAAACAAAAAAACCAAAACCATACAATTATTATTTTTTCTCCCCTCTTTCTCTTTTTAAAGCCCTTTCTTTTCTATTTGTTGGCTTGTTCTTGAGGGGGGAATCTTTCGCCCCCCAGCTACGACCACCACTCTCTTTTAAAACAAAAACTTCCTCCATATCACTGCTATTGCTATTGTTACTCTCCCCTCAACTCCCCTCCTTTTATTTTTCTCTCCCTTTTTCTCTCCCCTCTCTCTCTTCACCCCTCCTCATTTTTCCTTTTATCCCACCTTTCATTTCCCATCCCCAATTTTGTTCTCTATCCCTTTAAATTTTTTTTAAATCAACCCCCTTTTAGCCTGTTCATCAGTTTGTTTTTGAGAGGAGCCCTTTCCCCACCCCCTATTTTAAAATAAGACTTTCCCCATACCATTGCAGCAGCTCACCCTCCCTCCCTCCCCTCTCCCCCTCTCTTTTCTTCTCCTTCCTTTTCCCACCCTTCCCCCTCCTCCTCTCCTTTCTCTCCCTCCTCCTCTCTCCATGCCCCCCTTCCCCGAAAGGAAGCACATACACACATTCATATCACCCTATCATACTTTGCCGCCCTCAGCGGCTAGCTAAAACTACGGCTGCGGTCTAATACCGCTGATATTACTGTACTATCTCTCCCGCTCTTTCAACTCTCTTTTTGTCCCTCTCTCTCTCTTCTCTTTACTCCAATCTCCCCCTCCCCCCGCCTCCCCTTCTTCTTTCTTTCTTCTTCTTCTTCCCTTTTTCTGCCTCCACCCTTTACATATAGCCTATTTGTCTGTCTCTGTTTCTGAGCGCACTCCCAGCCCCCACTTCCACCTTAACTGGACCCCAATACCCCTTCTGGGCATATACAGCCCCTCCGAAGCACATCTTTCCCCTGACCCCACCCCTCTAATCTCTTGCATATCGACCTGCTAACCCCCTCCTTTATATGAACTGTCTGTCCGTTAATCTACCCATCTCTGCTTACCTGACCCCACCACGGCGGCACCGCTGAGGCCTCCACCAACGCCCTAGAGAAGTTCTTACAACCCCGGCTAGAAGTGACACAAATGACCACCTAAGCCAAACGCTCTGTAGAAGCCACCAGCCAACAAAGCCTGATCAGCTCAGCAACCCACCACTACCCAGGAATCACCACTGCCACAACTCCTAACCACCACACGCCCGACCCCAAGAGGACGCAAAGCCAACCTCAAAACAAAACCAACAGGGAGACCGAGATGACACCAACCAGGGAGATGGCAAACAATGCTAAGATGGTAACTCCCCTTCAAGATGACGACCACCCAATAACGAAACGAGATCTGAGGAAATGGAAGCAAGATTAGAAGCACGATTAGAAGAAACACTGAAGGCCACAATGGCTCCCATGCAGGTACTAATCAACAATCTAACCTCCAAAGTGGAGCTCTAGAGAACAAGAACCAAATGCAAGAAAGAATAATAGAGCAATACCGGAGGAGAACACACGTGTGAACAAGAAACTGGACGAACTGGTAAACCAAATGGAAGCAGAACACAGAGAGATGAAAATTAAGCAAGCCGACCTCGAAGACCGCAATAGACGTTGTAACATCCGCTTCCGCAACTTTCCTGAAAAAACAGAGGAGAAAAGCCCAGCAGACCTAATTATACGCTGGCTGAAAAACACAATCCCAAGCCTGAAGCTTGAGGCAGATGACTTGGAGAGGGCTCACAGAGCCCTAAAACCTATGCCAAAACCCAGCGCCCCCCCAAGAGACATCATTGTATGCTTCACACGCTACAAAAAGAAGGAAGAGGTATGGAACCATCTCAAAAACTCAGCCAACCTTCGATGTGGAGAAACCCCATTCTGGCCTTACAGGACCTTTCTCAGGATACCCTAAACCGGAGGAAAAGCCTGCGCCCATGCACCCAGCGTCTCCAACAAGCAGGGATCAAATACCGATGGGGCTTCCCCTTCCGCCTCATTGTAACAACCAATACAACACAACACATGGCTACCAACATACCTGAGGCCCTGCAACTACTAAAAACCTTGAACTCAACCTCCCACCGGAATGGCAGCCGACAAACCCACCAAGTGACAGCCCCAGCCACGAGAAACAACAGCAAACAACTGGACAACGGTACAGAAGAAAAGAAACAACAGAAGCGGCACAACAACGCAAACCAATACAGGCAAGCATCATGCTCAGAACCGTCCCGCCG